CATTTATCTTATTTTTTTTTTTAAATATTATAAAGTATGCATAAAATCTAAATTTAAGTAATAAATTATTTTGATTTGAAATTATTTCACACTTTTTTAATATTAAATTACACATATTATTCAATAATATTTAATTTACCATAATTACCAATATTTAATTTAATTACCAAAATTTAGATAAATTAATATTAGATATACATCCAAGTGATATGTGTAACATACAAGTTTGTTGGATTGCATTGTGTTAATTGATTAAATAACATAATTTTAAATTTAAATTTATAAAAGTTTATTTATTCAGAATAAACTATTTCTATAATAAAGGTCAGGAGTAAAATATTACTCATTAAAGGTCAGGAGTAAAATATACTCATTTTAAAGGACAATTTGAATTAAGAAATAGAATAGGATTTCAAAAAGAAAACAATAATAATAAGTTTATGCTAAATTTTATAATATTTAAATTTTTATTTTAATTAAAATTTTTTTTTCCATCTGATTTTGCTTTTTTTCTTTTTTTTTTTATTTATTTAGAACTTTCGTTGTACTTATTTGCTCAATGGTAAAACAGGCCAACGTATTCGTTTACTTTTTCGTGATTTTGATATTTATTTTGGTGGAGAACAGTAAGTTAATTTAATTTTTTTTTTTGTCCACTTATTTAATTTATTTTAATTAATTAATGAATGATATGTTATGATATGATGTGTAATATAATATGATTATTCAGTCTAATTAATCGATATTTGTATAAATTTGCATATTTTTAAAATGAAATTTTTAACAGTTATCATAATTGGTATAATTTTCTTTCTAATAAATCAATAAATGATATGATATGATGTATGATTATTCAACCCAATGAATCGATATTACAATAATTTATATATTTTAAATGAATTTTTTTTGTTTCACAGCTGTTTTACTTTCTCTAATTTTATCTAATAAATCAATAAATGATTAATAATATGATATGATATGATAAAACTTTTATTCAATTTAATCAATCGATGCTACTATAATTTGCATATTTTATAAATTAAATTTATTTCTAGCTGTCCATATGATTCGTTAACAGTATATGATGGTCCAACTAATAAGCATCCAATTATACGAAAAATATGTGGCTTACAACAAAGTATGGTAATTTATTCATTTGGGCCAAATACATTTATTGAATTTAATACGACAAATCCAGCTAAAGCTGATCCACGCGGGTAAATTTTAATTTATTTTACTGTCGTAATTTATCAAAACTTTATTTACATTCTATTCAAATAATATCAATTATCGTTTTATTTTTTCCACTAACGCTATTGTCATTATTATTGTTATTGTTATTGTTATTGTTATTGTTATTATTTGTTGTTATTGTTATAGATATTCATTAGATTATGAATTTTCAAATCGTTATGTAAATGTATTGAAATTAATGGATAATCAACTTGGAATAACACATTTACGTGGTTCCGAATGTGATTTACTTATTCGAAGTAATCGTGAAACAACCCATTATATACATTCCCCTGAAGTAAATATTTTAATTTGTTAATTTTAAAATAAATTAAATTAAATACAAATAAAGTGGGGAAATTTGTAAAGTATTTGAAAAAAAAAAATAACTGACGCATAATGTAATTTTACTTTTCATTTAAGTTTAAACTTTCTTAAAATGAATTGAATTAAATATAAATAAAGTGAAGAAATTTATAAAGTATTTGAAAAAAAAACAAGTGACGCATAATGAAATGAAGTAATTTTACTTTTCATTTAAGCCTAAACTTTTATTCATTTAATGTTAGAATAAAATTGAATTTCTCCTTCCTGCTCTTTAAATGAATAATTTAAGGCATATTTTGCTAGATAGTTTAAGTAATAGATATATTAGTATGGAAGTTAAAAAGTTGCAAATCAAAAATTGAAAACAAAAATTTGAAAATTGGAAAATTAAAAATAATACTTTTATTTGATCAAAAAAATTTTTCCTTATTTTTTTTTTTTAGTATCCATTAATGTATCCAGCTAATACTACATGCACATTTATTATTGATGGTTTACAAGGTGAGCAAAATTTAGAAGAAGTAATACTTACCTTTGAAAAATTTGCTGTTCTCACCGAAACAATTGACAGGTTAGTTGAATTAATTTTTAAATTTCAAATTATTATTAAAAGTATAAAAATGAAAAGTAATTCAAACAGTTTTTTCTTTTCGTTAAAATAAGATTAAATTTTTCCTGCCAATCACCGAATATATTTTAGAATTCTCTAAATTATCGATTACTAAATTTAAATAAATTTTTTTCAGTTTTATTAATTAAGAATTTTGTATTTATTTTTTCATGTTTTTATTCAGATTTTGCCTTTTCAAAATAATTGTAAAGTAAGATTAGCCTTTTTTTCTGAAGATTTTGTTGATTTCTTATTTTTAGTACTAATTTAATTCACTCCAAGCATTCCTCAGTTGATTATGATAATGGTGATAATGATAACAATAATGACAATAATGATAATGATGATAATGAACCATGTTCAACATCATATGTGGGTATTGCTTTTGTTCCGGCAAGTATTAAAAGTGTTTTATCATTCGGTGAAGAAAGTAATTATGATGTTACATTATGTGATCGTTTGCAAGATGGTTGGTATCATTGTCATTTACTCAAATTTAATATTTTAATAATCAATTTAAATTGAAACCATAATTTGGGATGTAATTTTGTAGGCAAATTACTATAACTATTTGCATATTTATTTATGTCTATTAATTGTAATTTAATAAATTAATTATGATTAAAATTTGTCTATTCTACGACAAGTATTCATGACAAATTCAAAATTGTTAATTGAAGTTTTTTTTTTTGCTAAATTTTTTATAATAATTTAAATAAAATTTAGTTCAAGTAAGTAATCGAGTAAGTAAGTGAGTAAGTAAGTTGTAATTAAAATTTGTTTGCCGAAAAACATATGTAATAAATCCAAAATTGTTAAAATTTTCTTAAACAATTCAAAAGTAATTTAAGTTAAACGAATGAGTAAGGCAAATAAGTAAATGAATGTGTAAGTAAATAAATAGGTGACAAGTAAAAGTGACAATAATTAGTAAGTAAAAATGAGTAGTGATAAGTAAAAATCAATAAGTGATAAGTAAAAAATATTTATTGAGGTTTAAAAAATTATTTTGTAAAATTTACAGGTTCACATGCATTAGGTCCATATATTAGTGATGGACCAAGAATGGTATTAGTATTTAATTCGAATGAAAAAATTTCATCAAATGGCGATGGAAAGAAGCCATTAGGATTTAAAGCTAAAATTCAATTCAAAACAGGTATTTACATTGAAATTTCTTTCAAATTTACAAATGCTCCAAGTAATTTATTTAATTTTGTTGTTATTTCTATTTTTTTTTTACTTTTTTTGCATAAACAAAATAATTAACACCAAACTATCAAATATTCCTAATTAAAATTACATTAATCATAAATTGATTAATTTAGTAAAAGTTACAATTCAAATTCATGTAAAATGATTTTTAAATGAATTATTTTGAAATGTGAATTTAATACAAAATAATTAACACCAAACTATCAAATATTCCTAATTAAAATTACATTAATTATAAATTGATTAATTTAGTAAAAGTTATAATTCAAATTCATGTAAAACGAGTTTTAAATGAATTATTTGAAATGTGAATTTAACATAAAATAATTATCATCAAATTATTAGATATGATTACTTCAAATTATATTAATTACAAGGATGATTAAAAGTTATAATTAAAATTCATGTAAATAAAATGAATTGCTTGGCATTTAAAATCTGATTTTAAATTGAAATCGAAATTTAAAATAAACAATTTTGGATATAAAAAGATTGTTTTAGATTTTGGTGTACCGGGTAAACCGATTGGTGATTCAAATCAATGTATGTTTCAATTTACAAAACCACGTGGATGGTTTAATAGTCCACGTTATCCGGCAAATGTATGATTTGCATATTATAAAAATTTTTTTTTTTCAATATTTTAAAGAATTTTTTTTTTTCATTTTCAAATATTAAAGATAATTTATTGGAAAAATTTATTTACAGTATCCATTGGACACAAATTGTACATATATTATTAAAGCAAAACCAGATGAGCAAATTCAAGTTTATTTTGAACAATTTGCTCTTTATGTTGATGAACATTCATCATCAACTGAAACAAGGTTTTATTGTTTTTCCTTTCTTTTTTTTTTTTTTTTTTCAGTTAAATTTCCGGATTTATAAATGAGAAATCTTTACAGGAATTATTAGGAAAATTTATTGGTAAGTTTAAAAAAAGAAAAAAATAACAAAAAAACAAAAATAAAATAATATTTTGTAAAGATTGATAACATATCACAGTTTATTGTATCATTTTATCATATCAAAGATTATTAATTTTGTAATTGTTTCATTTTGATAAAAATAATTTTACATTAGGCATAAATTGTTAAAAAAATTTCATATCAAATTTATCGTTAAATGATTATTCGATATTCTGATAAAAATAATCAATAAGCTATTAAAACTTTTCGTTACAATTTATCTGATCACTCTAGAAAATCAATTAATTAATTTATGATTAATCGAATATTTTCGTTTTTTTTTCTTTTTTTTTTAAATGGTTTTAATTTTTACAGAACAAATATCTTTTAAAAATGAATTGAATTGTTCTTATTTTTTTTTTTTTTCATTTCAGTTGTGCTGATTTTCTAGAAATATTCGATGTTTTTGTTAAAGATGGAATTGAAATTTTACAACTTCAAGGTAAGAAATATTTATTTTAAAATTGATTTCTTTCATTAATTAAACATTTTAATTAAAACTTAATTTGTCAAAATTTTATTCATTAATAAAAGTTAATTTACCAAATTTTGCTCATTAATAAAAGTTAATTTACAATTTCATTCATTAATTAAACATTTTAATTAAAACTTAACCTGTCAAATTTTGCTCATTAATTGTAATAATTTCAACGAGTTATGATTTTCTTATTTCAAACATTTCAAATTTAATTTTTAATTTAAATATTAAATTAAAAGGAAAATTTTTATAGCTCGTTATTGTGCAAATACATTTCCGGGACCAACAGTAACAGCATTTGGTTCACATGAACTTCGAGTTTTTTTTCGTTCTGATCATGAAGGTACCGGAAATGGTTTCAAAGCAATTTATCAAATTCGTAAAGCATTTGCTGAAGAAATCCCAACAAAACGTTTGTTTCAATATTTTAAAAATACATTTATTTATTTTATCAAAAAAAAGAAATGAATGAAATGCTAATGATATATCTGATGATTATTTTCTTTTCTAAAATTAATTAAAATTAATAAAATTAACAATTACATATTAAATTTGAAATGTTAATCTGATAATTATCTGCTGCAATTATCATGATATGATAAGATGATACAAATTTCTAGCAGTTGCACGACATTGTGGTCAACGGATAATACGAACAGATGATTTAATCAGTGGTTGGTTTGTATCACCTGGTTATCCGATAAAATACAATAAAGATTTAATTTGTGATTGGGAAATTACTGTACGACCAAATCATCAAGTATAATGAGATTTTTTCTTTTTTTTTTTTCTTTCTTTAAAATTTCTATCTTAACAGTCAGAATTTAAAAAAGAAAAAAAAGAAAAAAAAAGGATTTAAAATTTTAAAGAATGAATGGATTTAAATTCAAAAAATGAATTAAGAATGAATTTAAGAATGAATTTAAAACTTAAATTTAGGATTTAGATTAAAAATTTGAATTTAAAAAATAAGCCATATCCAAGTTTAATATTCAATTTAAAAAAAATATAACTTTTTAATTATTTAAATTATAAGCATGAAATTTTCACAATTTAAAGTATTAATGAAGAAAAGAAAAAAAAGCAAGTAATTTAAATTTAATTTCATATTAAAGGTATTACTAAATCTTGTTAAAATGGAAATAGAAGGTTCAATGAGTACAGAATCGGTAAATTGTCAAAATGCAGTAATACGTGTTAATACTGAAAATGATATTGGTACTACACCAACAATACAGGAAATTTGTGGTACAGATAAAACTATCATACAACCGATCATTTCCAAAAGTAATACTGTCCGAATCTAGGTTTTTTTTTTTTTTT